AAGGTAGTCGATGGGCAGGCATACGCAGTACATGACAAAGCCAACGGAGGTGGTGTAGATCGATTACTTCTGTTAGAGAGCGCCTATCCACTCCCAGCACAAGACAACGAACCTCGTCATTGCTCACCCGATGTTCCCACCCAACACGAGCGATGCTTCGGAGACATCGGCGGTCGAATACGGAAAATCAATTAACGTCACCAACGCGGACAGGTCAAGTCTCGCAAACGTAAAGCAGAACGCTACGATCCGCGGCGGTGTTGACCCTTCCCTTAAGGGACAGCCAGATGTCATGGTGGCGCCACAGGCGTCGCAGTTTGGCGAAAGCTGCTCTATCATTCGCTTTTCCTGATGTGATGTTCTCCCCAAGACCAAAACCAGCTGCGATCCGGCTCCCGAGGTACTTCAAACTCTCAACTACTTCCAGCCGATCGCCACAAAGGGTGACTGCAGGCACAGACTCCTGCCAGTCTTGAACAAGCACTTTGCATTGGGACAGTAAATAACTCAATCGCCATGCGGTTCAAAGCGTCTTGGACTGCCTGTTGTTACCCAGCAAGGCAATGTCATCGAAATTTTCTAAGTCAAAGATTCTGTACCCTAGGAGGAGTTCAAATCCATCGTTTACTAGACCGGATAAAGCATTCTATATAATATCATCTATGAAAAATTTAAAAAGGAATGGGGATAAAGGGCAGCCTTGTCAAACTCCACTGGTTGCGGCGAAAGATGGCGAAAGCTGACTACAGACCCTAACTCGACCCGAGGTTTGGTGATACAGCTCTCTGAGGATTGACACACTTCTCAGGTACTCAATTCCTCAACAAACAGTTCCATAGTGCGGTCCTATCGAGAGAGTCGAAGGCCGCGCGAATGTCTAAGAATACAATGACCATTGGTCTTTGGTAGGCATGACGGTGCTCCAGCAGCTGTCGGCGGGTAAAAGTTCGATTGATGCATCCACGACCGGCACGAAACCCAGCCTGCTCCCCACGCATGGTGTACCATCAGCGGAGAAATACGCTATCGTAATCAGGCTTATACCCCTATAATCGGCGCAGTCATTACGCGGGTCCTGTATGGTGGTAGGAACAACAATCGATTCACTCCAGGAGGAGCTCCACACTTTACAAAACAGAACTTGTAGTTCTCTAACAAGCTTTATTACGCCATCTTTAAATAACGCTGGGAGAAGGCCGTCGAAGCCCTGCGCTTTGTGACGTCCCAAGGCTTGGATCTCCTTACGGATTTCCGCCTCAGAAGGTGGGTCTGTTGAGACGTGTGCATATACTCAACCCTTCACAGATAACCGAATGTCGCGACGGCGCCGAAATGTCTCAAGTTGGCAAATGCCAGCCGAGCTTATATGCGCGCCGATACTTCATCTGTGATGCGTCGGCCAGGCGTGATACAGCTGCCCAGATAGCAAAACTTATCTGGTTCATCTACTACTTCCCCAGTCAGAATAAGGTTGAGGGCTAGACCAACCCAATATTGGAGCACCATTTTACACAAAACGCATACCGAACATGGCTACACCAGCACTCACTATCCGGAAAAGCTTGTAACTTTTCCGTATCTTCACTAAGTAGCACATTGTCGTCTGCATACTCTAGATCATACAGTCTGCCACCCGAGAGTAAGTTGGTACCGCTATCCTCGCACGTGGGTGGAGGCTGTTTCAAGAATTAAGTTATCGCAAAGTTAAATAGAAACGGAGAGAAAAGGCAACTCTGTCGAACGCCACTTTACGTAGTGAACTCGGTGGTTTGGTGCACATGAGGTACTGTGAGCGGGGTCGTAACCGATACTCAAGACGCCGTTTGTTTCGGAGTTTATCGTGAATAAATTGGCTAGTTGGTAGGTTTTGTCGGGTAAGACACGTGACTAGCTGTCGTCTTTTACACCGCGGCTGATTCGCTGTTGCTACTCCGGGCTGGAGGAAACCATGTGAAGGTTGACAGATTATGTGAAGATAGAGCATGGAGAAAGGTGATCAGGTAGAGTAGGTCCCTCTTCTTCCAGGTTAAGATCTAAAAGATCCAGTAAATGGTTATTAGAAGACACTGAAGAACATGGCAGCAAACCAATAGCAGTGGTGTTCTTTTCGTTATTTCTTATGTCAGAGTGCTTGAAAAGGTGTATATGCACAGTTAAATTATGTACTCCGTGTGCTATCCAGAGAGGCTCGCTATCTCTCCCTCTTCCTCTAAATAGGCCAACTTACTGTTTATCTTACACACTATCCCCAACTTTAAACATTACGAGTTTGACAGCGATTACAAAATTTCGCTGTACCATAGGCAATCTCTGATCTGTCTCGGACCATTCATCTATGCAAAACATGGTAATCTTTATTATTGATCAGTAAATTTTCGGAGGTCATCGAATCTCGCATAAGTTACCTCATCAGCAGGATGAATAATCTTTGCGTGTTAACATTTGCACGGTTACAGATTGGAGTGTTTTAAGGGAGTGATCAGTAACAATGCAGCAATAATACAGCGTTCTCTGTGTATTTGATAAATTACATTTACTTTTCCCAAATGAGTGATTTCCATCGTTAGATTATACATGTTTAACTCTATTTAGTTTTTGATGTATTTAACATTGTATCTGACTGATTTAGCTGGGCTTGCATTCTTAATTTTAGGTACAATTCCTGCTTCGCGAAGTCGAAGTTATTCGAGGCACAGTTGTTGAAGAACCGAATCAAGACAACGCGGAAACTGATGAAATGCTAAATAAGTCTCAGTTATTGGATAAAAGTATAATTCGCGTTGCGGATTTGGATAAGCTGTTTATGAATCCCGATTCCTCGGCTGCTGAAATAATCGACGAGCACCTAGTGACCTGGCGCGGTTTGAAAGAACTACAGTTGCAAAATCAACGCCTCCTGTGTGTTGCTCGCGATTTGGCCACTCAGTTAGTGCAGCGGGAATGTGAGGAGAAAAACACAGCCTCCCGTGTATCCGAATTGACAGTGCGCGTGGAGACGTTATCGGGCGAGCTAGATGTTGTTAGAATGGCCGCCCGTGAAGCTCGATTAGAAACTCAAATGGTTACACGTCAGCGTGATTCGTATCGTGCTTTGCTCAAACAGTACGATATCGACGTATCACGCTCGGAAGAAGAACAGAATGAAGAAAAGTCAACTCCTGAGGAAGGCAAAGAGAATGCGTCTGAGTTGCCTGATACAGAAGTCCATCCCAGCCCCGCTGCGAAGCATTCCGGTACGTGCGTGTAGACAAAAAACAACGTCACCTTATTTTTGTTTATATCGGCCTTCACTTTGACATATCAAATATCAGCACACCTGATGTGTCTCTGGCGTTGTTGGCCGTAGTGGTTAGGGACTGTCGGTCAATCAGGTTTAGTTCATCTAGTTTTTTATAGTAGCCCTCGAACTGTCTGTCATTTCGGTGACAGGTCCAATGGGTAACCGAAAGGGGACGACAATTTTGATAGCAATCTTGAAAGCATAAAGGAGGTGATGTAAGTATGAGGGTCTAAGATGCAGCAACGTTGTCTATTGTCTTTGGTCATAAATTTGGTGTCCTGTGAACCGCAATCTAGATGACGGTTGTAAACCACTCTGCTCAGCTTAATATCTCCACATTTGTATCAGGTTGCTGGTTCGCTTATTTTATTCTTTCCGTGTTGATTGTCTGTTCTTTTGTTTAGAGACGTGCACCGTTCCGTTTAAGTTTTTCTGATGGTTGTAAAAACGGAACTGACACTGTTTATACATCACCGTAGTTTGTGAAAATAGAGAACATGTTCGCATTTGGCTTCCACCAACCCATACTCTTCTCGTGAATGCTACGTTTTTGTTCTGCTCTCACAAGACGCGAGAAGAGTCCGAGGAAACCGGTGATTGGGGGTGGGATTGGGTCATGCACGGTTCTTGTTCACCTCGGTGGCCTTGGCTATAAATCGCAAAACAGATTTGATTGTCCAAAGTTGTTCAGCTCGCAGTTGATCTTGAGCCCACTCTCTCACGGCGCTGCTACAAAAAGGGCAAAGTAAATGGCTCAGTTCGCGATTGACAAGGCGTTTCGTTTGGTTGTGCTTCCCGACGTTTCTTTCTTTTATTTTCATTGTAAGCACTGTAGACAGAACGGTTGTCCAGACTGACTAATCATCATCGTCATCATCATTAGCAGCAGCAGCAGCAGCACCACGCGTTGTCTTTGTTCAGTAATTAAGGCTCACAGAGTTCACTTACCAATTGAAATGACATAAAAATGGTATGCAGCAGTTCAGGGTCAAATCTTCTTTCTTCTCCTGCAGGATGATTCATGGTAGCTTAAAATAAATTTTCAGACATGTTTTCTAGTGTTCCTATGGTTCTTCTGGGTTTATTAGGACCAGTTCTATCGGTGATAATCTCTTTTCCATTACTTTTAACAGAACGAAGCTCACTCAATGCGAATTTGACTCTGGCCAATGTGGAACGCCTTGAGGAATCGTTGGCTTCATTAGATGCTGAATTCAAGCGCTATCGAGAAGACAAATTGGAATCCGATAAGATCTATTCTTCTACAATTGAACAGCTGCGCAAGGAGGCTAGCGATGCACGGCTGCTTAATCAGAAGTTAGCTGCTCAAGTAAGCCAATATTCGTCCGTTTTCCTGTCTTTCTCGCTACAAAAGGTTCCCTACAGACACCTTTTTCATTTTTCTTGAATGTCGCACAGGTTAACACATTCTGTTCAGATTGGAGTTAATCGTTAAATGAGAATCAGCTTTTTTCAGAAAAAACGCCGGTTGTTAGTTCGTATTAGATTAGTTGACCACCAGTTACTTAAAAACCCTAGAGTTTCATATTGTGGAAAAATGTTTCAACTAGTACAGGTAATGACCAACAGAGATCGATATGCAAAACACCAATGTAATGATTCTTCCTAGTTGGCTTATCTCGAGATTACTACCGATGCACATACTAAACGTAAATAAGTAAATTCTCAACGGTTCTGTCTCAACCCCTTAAACTTTCCTAGCTCGATTTCACACACGAGAAATTGCGCAATATGGAGGCAAACGTGTCGGGCTACAAGCAGGAGATTACTGTCTTGCGTGAGATGAACGCTCGTTATTCAACCTCGGCTGCGGCCAGTGAAGCTGAACTGACACGCCTTCGGGAGGATCTCATTCGTACTTCAGACAAGCTGTTAGAGGTTGAGGTAGATGCACGGCATTCGGCGCGTCAACTGGAAATGGCTCGGGCAAATGAGACACGTTGGAAACAAGAGAACGAGGCACTTCGTCGACAAGACCAAATGCACACACAATTGATGCATCAACTGGAAGCTATACAGGTATGTCATTGTCTGTTTCTCATGTGTGCTGGTGTATGTGTTATTTGTTTATCGGCTCCTCGTCGCATAGCCTCTGTTTCACAGAGGTCGATCATAGCTGTTAAACCTCTTTAGTTAATGGTGGCCGGCTCCTTAGAGCAGATAAGCCGATTACATGGTGACCACAGTTTTGTGCGGGCTTGGTGCGACAGACGTCCTCAGAGTCGCTCGTTTTTTTCGAGGGCACATCTCTAGCTTTCGCACAACTGGACTGCTAAACAGCAGTTTGGGTACATGGTTACTAGTGGCTCCTTAGGAGCTCATTCGTCATTCGATATATGAAACTGCAACCCAGGAACCCATGCATTTCAGTTGAACAGCCTTCCTTCGTAGCCGTTGAATTCGGTAGTAGTTCTCATCCGCCCATTCAGGAGTGACAATCTTCGCATGTCGTACGCCGTTTATACATCGGTTACCCTCAACTTCTTTTTAGCTTGCTTGTCTCGCGGTTTGTCCAGATGTGGCCGCTGAAGCATGTCTCAGCTTCGTGACGCCACAAGTGAGAGATAGTTGCACAATTAACATCAAAAGGAGATGGATGCCCCCAAAGGTTTCTTACTGTTTACCCACTCAGAGGTCCTAGTCCTATCAGATGCCCCATACATCCCCGTTGAACAGGATCGATTAGACTTGATAACTCTAAATTGTCATATGGCAGCCCAAGGATCACAGTTGCGTGAACTCCCGCTCTCTGGGCGTTGTTGTTAATTTCAAACTGTGAAATCCCCTATACTTTTGAACTGAAGAATTCATCTGCCCATCGTATCAAGAACAAAAGAAGACATATGTCACGAGATGTTAACATTTCGTTCAATCTTCTCAGTCGCTGGCGTAAAACAAACAAGCACATTTATGGCATATTAGATTTGTAAATTCTATTGAACGGACATGTACAGTTAGACAGGGGCTATTAGAATTAAAAAATAGGTCAGCTCCACTGCAAGTGAACTGATTGGAGCAACATCTTTTGGGCGCACAGAACGAGATTATGTAATCTGATTAGCAACGCCTCACTTATTGCCAACAGTTCTGCATTACAGTTACGTAACAACAGTTTGAAAGAGGAAGCGGGATCAATTGTGTTTGTTTGTCATGATGTGTTGCGCAGTTGGGGACCCCGGGTTACGTGTGACCGTCTGATTACTGGGCTTGGGTTGCGTCATTAACTTCACCAACCACTTTGGAATGTGTTCGGTCATCCGCTGTGATAATTGACAGTTGGCTCTGCCTATGTTTGCGTCACCGCAGCTGCAGGTGAACTGGTCTACAGTGTGTGAGGCAGAACTGGATTCCCAGCCATGTACACGTTCGTCCAAATTGACTCCACGAGTAGAGGCCATAAACCGGAGTTGAGCAGCTGGGAATGTGCGGTTGACAGCTGATTTCAACTTTTGGCGCACATCGTTCAGAAGCTGATCGCCTTTAAAAGATAGTTTGATGTAAACGGCTTTTTGGGGAACAGTTGGCGATGGGTTACCTTTTTGGGATTGTTTACTGTGAATGTCAACGAATCTTTCGGGGTAAACGTTTCCTAGCTACGTTTTCTTCAGGAATTCTTCTCATAGTGTTTCTGGGGAACAAATTCTTCTGGCTCGATGGAACGGAGTTTTTACGAGTCCACGTTTGTAAGCCATGGATGAGAAGCTAGAGAACTGTGGATATTGACGACTCCACTTTGCTTTTCTGCAGATAGAACGCTGTAATGTACCATCTACACTCCTCGTAGTTCTAATATCCAAAGTGCTAAAGAATCATTGCTTTCTTCTTCAAGGGATACGGAAAGATGTGGATGTACAGAGTTAAATTGTCTCAAAAGGGATTCAAAATATTCACGCTCCGTAAGAATAAAAATATCGTCCACATAAAGTCTGTACAAGGTGGAGTGCGAGATTTTATTGGCAAGATTTTGTTCAATCATTCCTAAAAATATAATGGCTAGAATTGGGCCTTATGGACTGACCATGGTCACGACATCAATCTGTTTGCATGTGGTTTCTTCGAATTCAAAACGAATGTTATCGGTACATAAAAATATTAGTTCTCTTAGCTATTCCAGAAGAATGGCAAGGAAAAAATTACCTGACGAAATATGATCACAAAACAATCAACTGTTGCATGGAGTGGAAAATTGGGGAAAAGTGAACCCACATCTATCAAATACATCCGCTGTAAAAATGTTGTCAAATCTTCTAAGCATTTTGAAAGTTCGAAAAGAAAAGACCATATTGCAATACTGCACGATTTATATCCAGGACGATTTCGCTGCATCTCAACATGTTGCATACTGCAGAAAATATAATGTTTATATAGGGTTTTGGCATAGCAACAGAGTGAGGCAAAATACATTAAAAACAGGCAAAACATAAAAGAGGGAGAGGTAAAAGGACCATATCACCAGGGTAGAGAGGGACTAACATACAGTTCTTTTTGCTGGCACAGGGGGGCTTCCATCGATTAATCGCAATTACTTCAGCAAACCTTAGCAATCTTGCGACTTGTGACTTGTAGACAATTTGAAACGCTGTGCTTCGGTCGACGTGGTGTTGCGTCATCAGCAGATGTCGAGCAATGGCTGAGGNATATGTTCCACCACCCGATTGCGTAATTGTCGCTCTGTTCGGCCCACATAGGTCGCTCCGCAACCACATTGGAATTGGTAGNAGACGTTCTTTTTAAAAGTTCAAAAGAATCTTTTAAACAATGGGTCGTTAAAGACCTACGAACGGGATTTAAAATTTCTACCAATCATCGAGCGGGTTTGTGATATGGCGATTTATGCATACACAAAATTGGTCTGAGAAGAATCTCGGGTTTATGAATTTTGGGTGAGCCTCTCGTTTGCGGTGTTTCTATCCCCATTGGCTTCAGTTGTTTATGCTGTGTTTCGTATATGTTGCCATATAGTAACAGAATATGTAATTTCCTTGCAATAAGGTGGTTGTTATCCGGTATCTTGTCTATTTGGAACTTGCTATCCTCCATTAGTATTTCTTTTATTTTGTTTATATAACGGCCCCCGGTCATGATCACGGTACCAGATCCTTTGTCCGGCTTAAGGAATCTAAGATCTGGCATACGTTTCAGTTCTTGTATTACCTTATAGTGTTCGGAAGTGGGGCAGCTCTGTTGCCGAATCGGTGCCGCAAGGTATGAGCGAGAAATATCCACCTTTTTCGCACTGAACCACCCGGCATTTTCTGTTGATATGGGTGAAAGGTCCTTCAGCTGATCATAGAAGTTTTCGAATTGAACTTGATTTTGGATACTATCAACCATCTGCCTATCGTTTGTATTGCAAGACCGTAAAACAATAACTTCATGCCCCGAACTCTGATTCATACATTCTAATTGTACGCCATTCGAACTTCATCATTGTGAGCATCACTTCAACTCAGAAGAACAAATGAACATCTAGTTGTCCAGGAAGCAATTTTCTGACCCTCATGCAACGGTAGACTCACGTGGAAGTACAGTTGGACTTGCCTTGGCTAAGTGTTGTGGGCAGAAATATTTTCGGTGATTCAGTTCTCAACCCATACAGTCAAAATGATTCATTTCCACTAATTTTGGAAAGTGGATTTGAGTCAGAGGATTCCAATCAGCAAGTTGGGGGAGGGGTGCGGACTAGAGAGACAAACAAGCACTGGAGTTCCATGTGACGCGCACAAACCGTAACCACATTTTTTCGTCTCGCTACGTTACTTCGTCTNTCTGATCACGCATAACAAGATGAAATCTCAGTCAAAAGGAAATCAGTTCCTAGATCAATCAGCGATGGGACTATAGATCAAGCTTTTAAAGTTGTATCTGAATCCTCTAGTCGGTTACTAGCGTCTGTAGCCGTATTGTGTTACTAGTTTGGAAAATGATGGGGAAGGTTGATTTAAAGTTGGTGATGATCTGTCTCCGTTAGGCTAGCGATGATTGCAATGCCCGAAGAAACTCAATTGGACGATATCTGGGCAATATTCGACTTCCTCAGTAGCCGGAATAGAAAGGCAGTTTGTCATTCTTGGCTGTTACATTATGTAAGCATCCCGACTGTTCCACACAACGGAAAGTCTTTCACAAAATCACGTGGATTGGTCAACACACAAGCTTCCACAGTTTTGCGTGGATGTTTATTCACACAAGTGTTTCAGTTTAAACACACACTGTCACCAAACAAAGAGCAAATGTTCTTTATCGAATGATGAACTATACATATAATTTTTTTACCTTGAGGTTTTTCATCTTGTCATCATATTACCTGGTAAACAGTCATTGTCTGTGCGAAATTTCGTTTGTGGTGATATACGACACAATAGTAACGTGATTTGATGACCCCTGCTTTGTTTTAGCAATTTATTTTCTTGAGTTACCTTTACAGCGACTGGCTGCTGAGATGGAATAACCAGTCTTCATGGACATTCCAAATGACCGCTGCCCACGCTAGGTGGTCTGCGGCAAGAGCAGCGCAGATCTAGTCCCAACTTGACTTCCATTGGCGATTGCCGTAGACGGAGCGCAGACCCAGGTTTTCTGTATCCTTGCGTACCATGTCCTTTCAGGTTTTCAGTTGCCCACCGTGTAGACAGCGCTAGTTCTGGCAGAGAGACAGTGCTCAGGTAGCTTTTGTCAGATTGCTATCGGATTTACAAATCATGTGGCCAAACCATTGTATCTGTATCATCGTCAGCAGCCGTATAAAACTAAAGCACCTGTTTCTGATTGTCTCATTTGGAGGACGCATGCTGAGGTTAGATTAGAGGGCAATTGAGAAGAACACCGAGGTGTTCCATCCCTCGAGAAATTGCTTTTTTGAAAGGGGGTCTCATACACCATAGACAGTTTGCAGCGGAACAGGGATCTGTGCCACCGTAATGAGTACGGAGTCATTGCCTTGACCATTTAGTCGTGTAATGGACTTCGTCTGCTCAATACGGTAGTACCGCCTCCATACGTTAGACACCTACTCAGCGGGGGTTGAGCTCCCAGTTACCATCGATCTTCTTTGACGCGCCTTTCGAGCGGTTTATCGGGTTGTGGCCGCTCTTGCAGTGATTGATGCTCGAAGTGATTACACATTGGTTCTCCCTGACATCTCTACCCAGCGCTCTTACCGAAGATTCGTTAGACCTGAAAGTATACTTCCTACATACAAACACTTCTATCTAGATTTTGGTATTTCACGAACGAACATGTTTCCTTTTTATACAGAACCCATGGGGCTAGTCACTTATTGTCTTTTCTCCTCTCACAAATAGGGAAATTTGGAGCAACGCGAATCCAGCAGTCGATCTGCGATGGAACGGCGTATAACCCAACTGGAGACTCAACTAACAGAAGCCCAAGCTGCGTTTACGGAAGCCTCACAATCATACAAATCTACCAAAGAAACATTAGAACGAGAGTTAGAATTAGCTCGTCAGAGTTTATCTCTCGAACAAGCCGAATTGGAACAGCTTCGAACCAAACTGGTCGCAGCTGAGCAGGAGTTGCAAGAACTGAAGCCAAAGAAAGGTGAGTTTCCGGCTCCTTTCATTTTTCTTTCGTCTACCGATGAGATCGGCATTACTCTGGCTTTTTGATCATTATAATTTTCCTGTCTTCAGTCGAAGTCAAAGTTTTACAATGGGAATTAATTATAACATCATATTTCTTTCAACTCATTGAAAACATCCACAACTTGGTCGTTTCTCGGTGGAGAACTGGTTTCAGACCGTGTGCTAAATGAATCACGTTTTGATAATCCTCATAAAAGAAAAAGGTCCATAATTTGTCCGGTGGCACGATACTGTTAGGTTGCCCTGGTCAAAGAAGGTACATTTTCCTAGGGAGTTCACAACCGAAGCCTTTGACCACCCAAAGCCTGACCCGTAAGGCAGCGGGGCGGTGTGAAAACAGCAATCAATTGGTTGTCCAGGTGATCGGATCAAACGTCCGAGGTGTCCAATATACTTCGATATCCAAGCGAACCGGTGATCACTACCTCGACCAGGAAAGTGTGTGTGGTTCGTACGCCTTTTATTGGTTGATTTGGAATCAGGGATTTTAGCAATGGTTTCAGTTTAGTTTCAGTTTTCACAACCATTATCCCTGCTCTTTCGTGGACCGGTTTTGGTTGCTGTCTTTTGGTGCCCCATTTGGACAAAAGAGCAGAATGAAGATTGGAATGTTGAAAGCAAATCCAAGCGGAAGATGGAGAATTCAGATAGAATGGTGTTCGGGGAATAATGAGTGGATGCACGAGCGCCACTGTTTGCAACATCCAGTCATATCACTCGGTGACCGTCATCCCGAGGTCCCTAGCGAGGGAGCCTGACAGGGCCAATGTGACCTAGTCTCCTGGTTAGGGTTTTCATACCCTCATGCCAGGTCTTGGTTTGACCACCCTTGATCTTTTTCCAACTGCTACCAGCTTTGGCAAACATCGATCGCTGTGGCAACCTATCTGATGACATGCGTAACACATGTTCCAACCAAAGTAATCTATGGAGGTCGATCACTTGCTCCAGTGGGCGACCGCGACTGCCTAAAACTCTGCGCCAAACCTCAGCGTTGCTCGTCCGGTTTCTCCACCAAACTCGTGCAATGCGATGTAGACTGCACCGACTGCAACACCGACAACCTATCTTTATCCTATTCCCGTAGAGGCCAAGTCTCTGTACCGTAGAGCATGACTGGCCGGATTGTTGCAACATACGCTCGACCCTTCACAGACAGCCGGATGTCGCGACGGCGCCAAAAATGTCTCAAATTTGCAAATGCCAACCGAGCTTTTGGTATGCGCGCCGACACTTTATCTGTGATGCGTCCGCCGGGTGAGATATAGCTTCCCAGATAGCAAAACTTGTCCACTTCCTCTACTACTTTCCCAGTAAGGGTGATACTGGGTGCTGGACCAACCCGATCTTGTGGTAGCATTTTACACTTTGAAGGTGCAAAACGCATACCGAGTATGGCTACACTGGCATTCAAGTTATCCAGAAATGCTTGCAGCTTACCTGGATCTTCACTTAGTAGCACAATGTCGTCTGCATACTCCAGATCAGGCAGCCTGCCACTTGGGAGTAAATCGATACCGCTATCCTCGCACGAGGATAGGGCTGTTTCAAGAATTGAATCTATCTCGAAGTTAAATAGAAAGGGAGAGAGTTGGTAACCCTGTCGAATACCACTTTCCTTGGTGAACTCGGGGTTGTGCTAATGGCAATGTGGTCGACCTGAGTCCAGCGCTGTGAACAAGTTGGCAGTCTCCATGTAAGGCGGTGGCGTTTTTGTGCGAGAAGTTCGTGCTTGACAGAAACAGTCCGTAGTCAGCTCTCCGTTGTCAGTCCTGTTGGCTGAGATTGCATGCGAACCGCCAAGTAACCTGTTCGATTCGTCCAGAGATCCCATTTGAGCATTGAATTCTCCAGCGACTACCACAATGTCCGTTGACCGATCACTTCTGAGAGAGGTCCTAATAGAATTCATCGACGCTTCGTTCCGTTGACGCGTACTGAACCATCCAGACGTACGGCGCTTAACCGGGATCCAATCGAGAAGTGAACGCTCGGCCTTGACACTTAGCGCAATCCCAACGCCAGCAACACCACGAGCATCGGTTACCTAATCGCCTGAAACACGGAGAGTGAAGCGTGAGGATGAGGTTGGATCAGGAGAACGGAGGGAGATGAAATCTTGTTTGCGTGTTTCGGAGACAGCATACGTCTAAATGGAAGGTTTTAAGGGTTCTAGTTAAGGCGGCTTATTGATCGATCTGGTAGAGAGTGCGGACGTTGAGTGCAGCTAAGTGAAGATGGGATTTTGGTTTCAAAAATCTGGTAACCTCTGAGTGATTGACCTTATTAGTTGAACGCTGAGTGATATGCGATGGGTATCGTAAACATGAGGCACCTGGGGATATTCGGGATTGAGAAGAAGGACCAGGCAGATGAGAAAGATGGTTTTCCAAATGAGTACCTAAGACTTTAGGGCATAGCATACTTCGCGGCAGCCCACACTGACAAAGAGGTTTTCCTGTTTGAACCTTAACCGGAGCCTTCGACTCAAAAGTCTGACCTTCAAGGCAGTGAGAAGTAAATCCAACGCGGGAGCGTGAACGAAGCACCGGTGTGGGAGCTTCTAGAGACCTGCCACGCAGGGCCTTTGAATTTCGGTTAAGTTTGTTGTTCGCTGGTGCGTTTATTATCGGTCCACTGTTCGGGATCAGCCGTCAGCCTCATGCACCCAATGAGACAAGTGAAATGTGGACGGGATAACACCTTATTGGCTAGGGGATGCCCAGCTTGGGAGGGCGGTAGCTGTCCAGTGAAGTGCGAAGACTTATCCGACTGTTTAGAGGAAGCCCCAGGTACTCCGCTCCTACGCCCATCTAGCGGGGTTTTTTCGACCGGTAAACTGCCCCTCACCGTGTTCATTTGCTGGAGTGGCCTCTCCAGGGGCGTGTGGATAAAAGGAAGAAGGCAGGAGGTGCCCATGCAGCTGGCTTTATGAGACTGAGCTTTGTCTGGCCTCTACTCGTTGAACTTTCAAGCATGACTGAATCTACCGCTATGAAAAACCATCCTGTGTAGCCCACAGGGTTAAGCAAACCGTGAAAGGTTGGTGGTTGTACAAACTGCACGGGATG